TTTGTGAAAGGTGTGGTCCATCACCTTGATTGCCTGCTTTATTTCCAAAGGCTGTTTGTTCCATCTTCCATTCTTCCTGTCTCTTTCCCCTCATTTTCTCCACCCTGACCAGTTAAAAACACATTATTGTGTGAATCAAGTTGTGGATGAGATTTCTCCAAATAGATGTACTCTATCAAGTAGAAATGGAAATTTGAATTAAAACTTTGATAAACTTGAAATTGCATGCACTGGAACATTCTTCCACTGGCCTTGCAGGAAAGGATCATGGCCATTCTTCTTCATTAGTAGTCTTGTTAAGATTTGTTTTGCTACAAAAATAATTATAAAATACATATTCATTCAGAAGATCTAAATTCTATCTCCTGGGAATTTTATTAAATAATAAGAGTTCCATCTCTTACCAAGTCATTCAGAGTCCAGATTAAGTTTTCTTTTTAGACAAGTATGAATACAAAGTGTATCATATTTTAAGCTATGCATGTCCTGTTTTTAACCTACTGTTGATTTGTAGAAGATCCCATTGCCCCACAAGCAGAGGTTTTTACATGTATTTTATAGATTGATTTAGCTTAGCTTCAAGGAATTAAAAAGATCTTTCATTAATAAATATTTAATGTTTTGTATGGAACTAGCTCATATTTATAGAAATTACCAAACGGTTACTGCAAAAAGCTATAATTGACATGATTTTAGGAATAAGCCCGAGGAGATCCTTGCTATAAAAGAGGAACAGTTAACTAGTGACCAGCTGAGTATCTCAGTGTTTATCTGGGTGATTACTTTCAAGATTTCTTCTAGAGGAAATTGAAGGAAGTCAGGATTTTTCTTCGTTGGTATTACAGTCCTAAGATGCACTTGAATCCTAAGATATAATTGAATTCTGAGGCAGATTCGTGTTTCCAGTGTAGGAGCAAGTTTGTCCCATCAGTAGAAGCATAATAAGTCAAGACCAATCTGTTAATCTCCCATATCAATAGTCCAGTTTTTGCCTTCATTTGAAAATGAGGCCCAATATACATGTCTTGATATGTTGGCTCAGAATTTTACTTTTCAAAATGCTTTGATAAATGATAGCCTTTATAGTAACTGTGGCATGTTGCTAACACAACAAATTGTAGATTGAGGTGTTCACAAGTATGAACTCCACCTGTCCACAGCATTACTAAGAAAGCATTATTGTCCGGTCCCAGTCTGTATACTGCACTGGTCATTGTTATGGAGTCCAGAACTCTGAAGCCAGGAGTGAAATCCTAGCTGTGACCTTTCCAGTCTGCACTTGCTTCTTGAGAGAGAAACTGAAATTCAGTAAATACTGGTTGACCACCTGGAATGCGGAATGCAGCAGGCGCTGAGAATGTTTCAGGCAATTTGTTATTTCAGTTAAAAGCTTAATGTTGAGAGTTTATTGTTGCTCTTTGTAATGGGAATGGAAGCTTCTTCCCTGAACTGTCTGACTTAGTAAATTCTAAGATTTATGTACTTACTGACTTACTCTTCAGAGCTGTCATATTTTCCCCTTCCCCCCTCCCCAGAGGCATGGTCAGTTGCCCCCTGAGTAGATAAATCTTGCTGCTTTTTATTCTGACTTTTAGAGCCTGAAGCCACTTTCAGCCTCCACCCTAAGTTACAGATTCAGCTTTCCCTGGGGTTAGACAGAACTTAAGCGTGTGAAACAGGCCAGTGTGCCTAGGAAGGATCCTGTGTTACCTACCAGTGCATTGCTGACAGTGTTGTGTGTCAGTTTTAAAATTAGGGAATGCTGAGAAATTTTCAGCGTGAACCCAGAATGTTTATAGATGGAGATGTGTGTGTATTGTTTTGTTTTTAAGCTGCTGAAAGGAACTCAGAGAGTAACTGGGAATGCCAAACTTCTAGAACAAAAGACCTTAACTTAGTTCACTGCATAGTGTTCAGAGGATTCACAAACTCCTACATCTTCATATTAAAACATTGTAGTCCTGTATCTCTATGCTTAGCTTTAAAAAAAAAAAAAAGCTATAGAGAAAGAAGATGACTTTATTTTAGAGCAGTTTGAGGTTTCACAGCAAAATTGAGAGAAAGGCATTGGACATTTCTCAAATACCCTGTGCCCCTACAGTGTATAGCCCAGCCACATTAGGAACACCCCTCACCCAAATGATACATTTGTTAGAGTGCATAGTGTGCTTTTATTATTATTTTTATATCCTCAAGGGGAATATCTATGCAAGAAAATACTTAAATTGCTTTGTAAGCCCATCCTGATACAGCACTTGATATGTTTAACAATTTTTAAAATCTTTTTTTTTTTTTTTGATAGGCAAAGTTAGTGAGAGAGAGAGACAGAGAGAAAGGTCTTCCTTTTCCATTGGTTCACCCCCCAAATGGCTGCTACCGCCAGCGCGCTGCACCAATCCGAAGCCAGGAGCCAGGTGCTTCCTCCTGGTCTCCCATGCAGGTGCAGGGACCCAAGCACTTGGGCCATTCTCCACTGCCTTCCCGGGCCACAGCAGAGAGCTGGACTGGAAGAGGAGCAATCGGGACAGAACTGGCGCCCCAACCGGGACTGGAACCCCGGGGTGCCAGTGCCGCAGGTGGAGGATTAGCCTAGTGAGCTGCGGCACCGGCCAATTTTTAAAATCTTAATAGTATGTGAGATATATCCTGAGATGACTAAGGATATTCTTTGAAATAGTGTCATATTCTCTCTTAAAAGTAATACATATTTAATGAAAGGAAATTCAGAAATACATAAAGAAGAAACTAGAATCCAACTTTAATAGATGTCACTATTGTTAGTACTTGGTACATCTTTCTAGACTTTGGTTTGGGTGTGTGGGTGTGTGTGTGTGTGTGTGTGTGTAAAAGAGAGAGACGTTTATACTACTAAAGTATAAGCAAACTCTGCTTTGTATTTTAGATTTGTAAACTGTTAGAAGCACTTAAAGACCTTGTCTCCACGTGCAGTACATTGTGAGGGTCAGGGCTTCAACATACAAGGATTCCAGAAGATACCGGTCAGTCAGCAGTGACGAAGCAGTTAGCTTTCTCTCATGTGATATATGGTGGGCATCTTCTCAGGTCATATCACCTAGACCTGTGTCTCCTGTTACTAACAACTGCTCGGATTTCCATGGTAGGGACTACCATCATTGAGCTTTCCACTAATGTAGTCGTGGACAGCGGGAAGAATTGAAAGTATGCTTTAGTGGTACTTTTATAGGTCCTAACGACTAAATTTTCCTTTTGTTATTTTTAAATATTATAATTTGAATAAAAGTCTAAAGGAAATTAATTTTTTAAACTTAGAAAACTATTCCCAAAAATACTAGATTCATATAATTCATAGTTCTTTGGAAGCTTGAGTTTAATTTTTTCCCTGTTTAAATAAACATTTATAGCCAGACTATTTTAAAGCACATAATTCCTTGGGCATTAATGACTGAAGGCTTTATATCTTTGTTAATATTCATATGTAAGGAGATAGCCATGAATAATAATAGCTCCATGAGAACTAAAATTTACATTGTGTGGCATAAATCTTGGGTACTTTGTTTGAAGAATCACTTATTACTTATTTGCTATAAGAAATAAAAAAGGTGGTACTTTTATTTATTTTACTGTTTAATCATTTTGCAAACTTGAACTTGTTCAAACGGAACACACAGTTTCTGGATCATATTACTTTACAGCATTGTGATTTCATTAGATCTCTTCCTGTATGTGACTCTTTGGTGTGCTTTCATTCTGATTAGAAAAAACAGTAAGAAATTCTTACTGGATGTATCAGAAGATGAATATAAATTTTTAAAATGAGTTTTTATTGAAGTATCTATAGTTATAATGCAGGTTTTATATGGAACCCAGTTCCACTCATCTAATATGGAGTCCAGTTGCATTCCACTGAATGCAGTTGTTTATTTCTGGAGAAGATAGAACGTTCAACACATTTTCATAGTGGTGAGGCTCTGGGAGTGCTGTTGGTCTTCAGTAGTATCTAGATGGTTCTGCAGTAGCTGCCGATTTATTTATTGTAGACTCTGGCATCTTAAAAGATTTTCTGGTATTTTTTAAGGAAAACAATATTGTAACTGAAGAGGAGAGTCTGGGTGCAACCTGGGACCTGGCACAATTCAGCTGGTACAATGCCATTCTCTGTTCTGTAGAAAAGAAGCGAGGCTAGATTGCCCAGTCCCAGGGCTCAGCTTCCAGGAAGGTCGTCTTTACCCCTTAATCAGAGGCCCAGAGCTGTAGGAAACCATGCCATGTTTCTATGACTTACGGGGAAATGAATAAGTTTGGTAGTTTTTACAAATAACAATTATGCCAGATAAAAATTTAAAAGTGAACATTTTGAAAAATATATTGAGGATGGTATAAGAAATGCTTATTTACTTGAAAGTGTGAATCCAGTAAGTCTCAAACATTTCAAGTCTGTTTTCTCCCTCAGAATTTTCTCTGAGGGTAAATTTACATCCTTTGTTCCACATTCCCCAACCAGCTACCAAAATAATAAGTGATTGTGTACTTGGTATGCAGGTATTAATAGATTCCTATTAATCATGATGAAATAATTTAAATTATAGTTTCTGGTTAATTTGGGTTTGTATAATTTTTGAAAGGTAAAAGTATAATACTTATTTTCTTAGTTACGGATATATTTCTGTTTAGGATAAGACATGCAAAATTTGTATTCTGTGGTAATAGTGAAAACCTGCAAAAGTCCAATTCTGAACATTGTTGGGGTAGTTATATTTGAAAGTACAATAAACTTTAGTTTTCCTTTGCTCATACATATACATATGTGCCATACATACACATATGTCTTAATGGAAAATAAAATCATAGCAAAATTCCTATTCTTTGCATTAAAAAAGCTTTAGAATTAAGTAAGTAAAACCACAAGTTGGCATTGATAATATTTAGAATGTGATTGAAATGAAAAAACCTGTGAATCATATTTTTTAACTTAAAAATCTTTTAAGAGTTACAATAAAAAAATCACTCTCTTCTTTCAGATAAATTTGCGCCTCATCTTGGTAAGCGGAAAAACAAAAGAGTTCCTGTTTTCTCCTAATGATTCTGCTTCTGACATTGCAAAGCATGTGTATGACAACTGGCCAATGGGTGAGTGGGATTTTTCTCTTAAAAACAAATAATGTTAATTCTTTATGTTCTACCTTGTTTCACATTTTGAAAATATTACAAATATCGAAAAACAAATAATTGAAGGTATAAGCCTCATTCAAAGGAGATCATTATATCATTCCCTAGATTTTGTATTTCAGCTATCTCATTCCAAAAGATGAAAGAGCCCAGTGCACAAAATCCCTGTTTTTTGCCTTAGTGGAAAGTATTAAAGAGCAAACCACAAAATAGTTAATATATTTGTACTTATATCCATAAACCTGTTTGCATCAAAACACAAAGTGAAAGGAAAGAAAAGCTGTCTTTCACAGATTCTAATTTGTTCTCATTGGTCTACTCTGTACAAAGCTTATGTAAAAGTTAGGAGTGAGACAAAGTTAACATCTAATTTGTGTCAGTTCATGTTCTCTGAACTACTAAAATGTGACGAAGATGTGCAGTCCATTTTTGCTTTCCATTTTCAAGCCAGCGTTTATAACAAGCTAATTTGGAGAGTGTGTGGGGGGTCTCCTTCTTTCTCTGATTTCTTTTCTATGTGATGGTTCTGACCTCCCTTCCTTAAATGAATCTTTGATTTACTTTCTTCCTTTAAACTTCTCCAGCTGTCCTTTTGGCCCTTTTTGTGGCATATACGATTAGGGCTATGACTGTTAAACAGCTGATTTTACATTATTAGGAGCAATTTGAACTTTTAGAGGACAAGACTTTTTTTTCTAACAGAGAAAACAGTGTATATATACAAAAAATGAATCAGATTAGTTCAGTGTTTCTTAACCTTAAATAATATGTAGAATCTTTTTATAGGAAAAAAATTCTTACAGATTCTCCCTAGTAGTGACTTAAATTACTTATAATGTATAATTTTAAATGTAGAAACAGAAAACCCAATTAAAACTATATCCATGGAACTAAAACAGATCTATAAAGAAAATGCAACTGTAACTCTAAAACTAATAATGTTCAAATTAACATTAATGTTCCAATAATGTATTTTTGCTAAAGGCAACCCCACTGCTTGTATCATGAGTGCTGTTGAATATGGCCTGCCTATGGGTGTGTGACAGCTAGGTTATCTGTAGGTTCACAACAAAACCTTCATTCATAAGTGTACCAAATTGTCATTCAGTCTTCTCTTAGAATATATGCAGTAAATGAACCTCTGTTCTTTTCTCATTAGTCTCTTGACAATTAAAGGAGTGCTGGCTGCTCGGCGCCAGTACAGTCGTAAACCTCATGCATTCATGGGCACTAAAATCCCAAGGCTGCGCTTGGTTATAAAGTAATTATTTGAATCATCCAGATAATCTGTTCCAGATTATTGTTAAAATGAAAACATCATTTAAAAAAATTCTTGATGAGGACTTTGAGACCATAAGAACATGTCTTTGTGAGCCCACAGTCCTGAGTTTAAGAAACCCTGATTTAGACAAATACTTTGAATTACTGGGTCTTTCTTCCCATTGGTAACCAGGGGGCTAGTTCGTAAAAAAAGGAAGGGAGTAAAGCTAACAGAGCAAGAAGGAATTTCAGAAAAGCTAAAGTAGATGAAATTTGAGCTAAGAATGTTACATATTCCTGATAACCAGGCGGGATAGGTAACTGTCAGTTTGACAGGCATTTTCATAAATGGAAGGAGTGATGTTGTGCTAAGTATGATGTAAAAGTTCACTTTTATGGAGCTTTGATGGAGTACAGATATCTTGATACATGGATATTTAGAAAAATTTATTTGGGCAATATAATAACTTGAGGTGAAAAATGCTTTTACTTTCATAATTATTTGACTTAAAATTAGTTTTAATTCCTTACAAAGTTCTGGTTAATGATAAACAAAGCTAAGAATCCAATGCATATTCTGAAGTGAATGAACTGTTATAGGTGCTGAGTATTAATCATATCAGTTAAATATTACTTGAAAAATTTTTAATTTTCATTGTTTGCCAAATCTACTCAGCAATTTTAGACTCTATAGGAAATGTGAAGGAATAATTTTATATGAAATATTTAAATTAAAGACTTAGATCTGCTATGTTGTGTAAAGTACTGAAGGTCACAAGTGCACATATTGATGCTAATGACAAAGGTGTAGTAAACATTAAATCAGTAGAGGGAAATACTTTGTAAAATGTGCTTTTGGAAGGAATTCATCTACTTTAGCAGACCTTTATGTAGCTTACTGGAAATACGGCTAATAGGCAGAAATCTGGCACAGAGCTGTTATTGGAGAAATACTAATAATGCCTGAAAATACTCATGTAAGCCTTGTTCTAAGGCCTCTCTCAATTTCAGATCTTTGGAGAGAGGGAAAGAGAAATAGTATACTAAACCAGAGCAGGATGTGGACATCATGAACAGTGTAAGACAGTGCAGTGTAAGAGAATGCAATGTGAGACTCCCAAGTCTCTGCATCTTAAAATAGTATTTTAAATATTATTGGAATATTCACCTCTCTCCCCTCTAAATTAAATGGTTACTGTCATTCGCCTTTATGTCTATGGAATGTTTCCCTTTTGGTCAGAAATATTTTATTAAACAATAATTAGGAAAGTTATGAATTTCTTCCAGAAGAGGAAAAAATCTGGGAACAGAGGAATAAAAGACAAAAAGGCTTGTCAGAAGGAGAGAAGGGGAAGGGAAAGGCCTAGGGTTTGGACCAGGGAATGATTGAAACTCATTTCTCCCTCTCCCAATTTCTGCTGGGCTCAAGTCCCTGAGAGGCCATGATTTTATCCAACTCAAATTCATCATTTTGAAAACTCAAAAATCATGAAGTTTCTACTTTATGTCTCCCCTGTGAATGCAGGGGTCCAAGCACTTTGCTTGGCCATCCTCTGCTGCCTTCCCAGGCTCATTAGCAGGAAGCTGGACCGGAAGAGGAACAGCCGGGACTCAAACCGGTGCCCACATGGGACGCTGGCACTGCTGCCCAGGGCTTTAACCTGCTGCGCCACAGTGCTGGCCCCTGAAATTAATCTTCAAAGGACGTATCTTTTACTAGGATTAGATTTTTCCTAACTCATTTGCATTTTATAAACTTCTGTGGGTTACAATTTGGGACATTTTAGTATTCTTTGAGAAGTTAAAACTAGTATTTTTGTAGCACTTGCTGAGGAGAATAAGCAAGAGCCAGTGCTGCTTATCCAGAATGCTTGGGAAAAGAAATGTTCTAGAGTTTAGAGCTTTTTCAGATTTTGAAATACTTAAAATAGACCTCAGTGGTTACTGGTTGGGTATCCCAGATTTGAAAATCCAAAATCTGAAATGTTCCAAACTCTGAAACTTTTTTTTTTTTTAAAGATTTATTTGAAAAGCAGAGTTACAGAGAGGCTGAGGCAGAGAGAGAGAGAGAGAGAGCGAGCGAGCGGGGGGTGGGGGTGTGGGGGGTCTTCCATCCGCTGGTTCAGTCCCCAGATGGCTGCAACGGCCGGAGCTGCATCAATCCAAAGCCGGGAGACAGGATCTTCTGGGTCTCCCACATGGGTTCAGGGGCTTTTTAGTGTCATTGCTCAAAAAGTTGCAGATTCTGGAGCCAGCACATTGGTGTAATAGGTTAAGCATCCACCTGTGGCACCTGCATCCCATATGGGCTCTGGTTTGAATCCCAGCTGCTCTACTTCCGATCCAACTCCCTGATACTGGCCTGGGGTAAGCAATGGAAGATGGCCCAAGTACTGGGGACCCTGCACCCGCATGAGAAACCCGGAGGAAGCTCCTGGCTCCTGGCTCTGGTCTGGCCCAACTCTGGCCATTACAGCCATTTGGGGAGTGAACCAGCCGATGGAAGACCTTTCCCTGTCTCTCTCTCTCTGCCTATATAACTCTGCCTCTCAAGTAAATAAATAAATATTTTTTAAAAAAAGAAGCTGTAGATTCTAAGCATTAAGTTTTAGATTTTTGGGTTAAGAATGCTCAACCTGTATCTCACTTATGGGAAGCTCTAGGTCTTTTCTTCGACATACTCTAACTGATTTAGGTATGAATTTTTGAAACCTTAATTATGTGGTGAAATGCACCTAACCAGATCACTGGATTCTTTTCAGACTGGGAAGAAGAACAGGTCAGCAGTCCAAATATTCTACGACTTATTTATCAAGGACGATTTCTACATGGAAACGTCACATTAGGAGGTAATAACCACCATTGTAATGGGTTTAATGTTCATGGTGTGTAGCTTTATCTCTTCATTTTGAATGTTAATATCTTCAGTTTACTAAAAAATAATAATAAATTCAAACTATGACTTCTGGCTGTTTTTGGTATGGCTACTCCTTTATATTTTGCATTCTATTAGATCTAATTTAACTCTGATTCATGTGCTTTACTTAATGAAATAAACTCTGTCCCTGTATAATAGAGTTCATACCTACTCTTTTATAAGTATAATTTTATTGCATTTCTGAATAATATAATTTAGATGTAATATTTGAAGTTAAAACTGGAGATATTAATTGGGAAAAATTTATGATAATTGGTTTTTAAATGTAATGATGAGGGAATATTTTCCATTTGATTTCAACTGATATAATTATGGATTATGTGAGAATGAATGTAAATGACTTAGGAGAATACCAGTATCTTTTTTTTATTTATTTGAAGTTACAGAGAGGGAGAGGCAAAGAGAAAGGTCTTCCAACTGCTAGTTTACTCCCCAAATGGCCACGACAGCCAGAGCTGGGCCAGTCCAGAGCCAGGAGCTTCTTCTGAGTCTCCCACGTGGGTGCAGGGGCCCAAACACTTGGGCCATCTTCAACTGCTTTCCCAGGCCATAGCAGAGAGCCAGATCAGAAGTAGAGCAGCCAGGACTTGAACCTGCGCCCATGTGGGATGCCAGCACTGCAGGCAGTGCTCTACCCACAGCATTCCCCCCCTCCCCCCAGCAGCAGTATCTTAAGGAGATTGGAAGAGCAGATTTGGGATCCAGACTGTCCCAGTTGTATCCTGACTCCACTGCCTATTTGCTGTGTAACCTTGGGCAAGTGTCTTAGCCAATGAGTTTCCTCATCAGTAAAATGTAATAACAATAGTGCCTACCACCTAGATGGGGAGAGAGAAATTAGTTTATGTATTAGAGCACTTAGACTCCTTAGAGTAGCAAGCAAGTGGTGCTTGGTAAACACTGTTAGCTGATACTGGTCTTTATATGTGATTGGAGAAATGTAGCTCAATAGTGCCCCCTTAGGGGGGAGCATTTTCTGCTATCAACAGAGCTTGTTTTGTTCTATTTTTTAAATAAATATTGCTGCTTTTTTTAAGGTTTATTTATATGAGAGGTAGAGTTACAGACAGTGAGAGGGAGACACAGAGAGAAAGGTCTTCTGTCCGCTGGTTCACTTCCCAAATGGCTGGAGCTGCGCCAATCCAAAGCCAGGAGCCAGGAGCTTCTTCCAGGTCTCCCACACTGCGTGCAGGGGCCATGCATTTGAACCATATTTTACTTCTTTCCCAGGCCATAGTAGAGAGCTGGATCGGAAGTGGTGTATCTGGCACTAGAACCAGCACCCATATGTTATGCCGGCACCTCAGGCAGAGGATTAACCTACTGTACCATAGCACCAGCCCTGCTTGTTTTGTTTTAATAAATGTATTTCACTTATACTCAGATAATTGGAAATTTGTGGGCAAATGAAATGATCTATTTAAATATACCTTTATTTCAGTATAGTCTTTTTTCTCTGAATGTAACAATGAAACATTTCAATTGTTTTTCCTTAAAAGTAGAATATTTTTATTCATTCATTCAGCATATATTCATTGAATACTTAATGTGCCAACACTGTGCTGAACACAGTGAGTAAGATAGAATCTCTCCATTCAAGGCACTCAGGTATTACATAGGACAGAGATAAAATCCACTATGTGATAAGTTCTAGAGTAGATGAACGCAAATGCTTTTATGACAACATCAAATCAACAGAACATTTCAAGATGTATTATCACACTTTATCAAACTTGAGTGGCAGTGTTAAAATTGACCTAAAAAGTACTTCTTCTAAGCAGTATTTTCCATTTTAAAACAGAAGCTTTTGGTGTATGGTTTTTGCGTAGTTAGATAGACCAGGCCTCAATGTCATTGACTGTTCGCTTCCTGGCTGTGTTGTACATTCATGAAGGGTGAGGCCATGTTTTAGTCTTTTATAATTCTCTGTGGCTCACACAAGATCTTGTGTGGATTAAAAATTTGTAAATTTTGGTTAAATTTGATTTCTTGATAAACGAGTGAATCTTGAGATTTCCCTTTTCCCTTTGAATATTGACCATTGTAAGCAGTTTCCACTCCTTTTTGTTGTGTCCTTCCAACTGCAACTTCATATTAAAGAGCATATAACTGGGGTTAAGGGGCCGGCGCCATGGCTCACTTGGTTAATCCTCTGCCTGCGGTGCCAGCATCCCATATGGGTGCCGGGTTCTGGTCCCAGTTGCTCCTCTTCCAGTCCAGCTCTCTGCTGTGGCCCAGGAGGGCAGTGGAAGATGGCCCAAGTGCTTGGGCCCTGCACCCCATGAGAGACCAGGAAGAAGCACCTGGCTCTTGGCTTTGGATCGGCACAGTGCTGGCCATAGCAGCCATTTGGGGGGTGAATCAATGGAAGGAAGACCTTTCTCTCTGTCTGTCTCTCACTAACTATATCTCTTCCTGTCAAATAAACAAAAAATAAAAATAATAATAATTGACGTTAAAATATTCATTCCCTCTAAGATAGGAATTTTTGCTGATATTTTTTAAAAACTTGTTTTAGGATAAGTAACAAATTGACATATCATTATTAGTGTAACTCTGTGTTTGTTACTGTCAAATCTTTTAAAAAGCAAAACGAACCATTTCTGACCATGGTGATTTAGTGAGGGAACCTAGGATTGTAGATGGTTCTCTCAAGTTGATGAACACAGCTAGTCACCCTGTGGCAGTTTTAAGAATCTTTCATTTATTTACTTGAGAGACAGGGAAAGGCAGATGCCCATAATGGCAGGGCCAAACCTGGGAGCCAGGAACTCAGTCCAGGTCTCCCACATGGGTGGCAGGAACCCAGTCACTAGGACCATCACCACTGCCTCCCTGGTGCAGTAGCTATGGGTATCCAACTGAGGCACTCTACTGTGGGACACAGTATCTTATTATTACTGTTAACATTTGTTTCTTTATTTATTTTAAATAAATAGAGAGAGATCTTCCATCTGCTGGTTCACTCCCCAAATGGCTGCAACAGTGGAGGTTGGGCCAGGCTGAAGCCAGGATTCTGGAACTCCATCTGGGTCTTCCACATGGGTGACAAGGACCCAAGCATTAAGCAGGGAGCTGGATTAGAAATGGAGCAGCCAAGACTCAAACTGGCACTCGTATGAGATGGCAGTGGCTTAACCTGCTGTGCCACCGTACCAGCCCACAAGTATCTTCATCAGTGTCAGCCACTAGGCCAAACACCTACCTCCTCCTGTGTTCGTGAATGTGAATTATAAAACAGACTGGTAACCGCTGTTTTGAATGGCCAGTGTGGAAACAGACTTAGACTTGTCAGCACCCCATACTTGCTCAGCATAGCCCTGTGAATTAGACTTAGGACCTATAGCTAGAAATCAAAGGCATTCAGTTTTCTATTCAGTATAAGAAAGAATATTTGAATGTGTTGAGCTGCCTAGAGAAAGAATGATGCACCACAGGAAAGAGTAACAGCCTTGTCATAGGTGATGGTCAACAGTGGGTGATTGTGAAGTATCAGGGATTCAGCCATTGATGGAATTCAGTCACTGAGAAAGGTTAAAGGAGGAGGCCTGGGCATTTTCCGCTGTCTTGAGATTCTGTGTTTAGTAAGTTTCAGATAGGAAATTTTGGCAATGAAGTCTTTTAACTGCCCAGAATCCTCTTTGGGGTGTAACCTTTTAGTCATATAGAACTTGAGTCCACTAAAGGAAAGATGTGACAGCCTTACTAACTGGAAGTTCAAGATGATCAGCTGAAGCTTTGATGTTCAGTACATCCCAGCTCAGTGTTTCCTGAAATACAGTGTTGAGATATGGGCATGAGAAACCCCCCAGTACTTAAATTAAAATGCACATTTCTGGCTGGCACCACGGCTCACTAGGCTAATCCTCCGCCTTGCAGTGCCAGCACACCGGGTTCTAGTCCCAGTCGGGGTGCCGGATTCTGTCCCGGTTGCCCCTCTTCCAGGCCAGCTCTCTGCTGTGGCCAGGGAGTGAAGTGGAGGATGGCCCAAGTACTTGGGCCCTGCACCCACATGGGAGACCAGGAGAAGCACCTAGCTCCTGCCTTCAGATAGGTGCGGTGCGCCAGCCGCAGCGCGGCGGCTGTTGGAGGGCGAACCAACGGCAAAGGAAGACCTTTCTCTCTGTCTCTCTCTCTCACTGTCCACTCTGCCTGTCCAAAAAAAAAAAAAAATGCACATTTCTATGGTGATTGGCAGATTTGGGATGCCCACATCCCATGTAGGAGTGCCTGGGTTTGAGTCCCAGCTCCAAACCTGGTTCCAGCTTCCTGCTAATGTGTGCCTTGAGGAGGCAGTGGTGATGGATGGTTCAAGTGGTTGTATCCCTACGCCTACACAGAGACCCATATTGAGTTCCAGACTCCTGTCTTCGGCCTGGCCTGGCCTGGACAGGCCCCAGTGCTTGGCAAGTGTAACAGTGGATGGGAGATTTCTGTCACTCTCTCTCTCTAATTGTGTTTCTGTCTTTCAAGTAAATTCTTTAAAATACAGATTTATGTATGTCCCCCTCATCCTTCACCCTCATCTCCCAGTTTCACTACTGAATTGATATACCAGGTAATTTTTTTTATATACATTAAAGGTTGAAAGCCTCTGTTCCGTATATTGCCCAGTATTGGAAGCATTCACAGTGAAGGAATGAGACCACGTTTTAGATTCTAGTATCTCTCTTCCTTCACCCTTAATGTTATAAGCATCAATAAGTACCATTTCTAGTTCAAATTCAAATGGCAGAGAAAAATAATCATCCCTGCACAGTTAACTTTGTAACTTCAGATGGTAAGCTGCTCAACTTTCCAGGCCTTTCCTTGAATTTTCAATTCCATTCCACCTGCCTGTTTTCTGAGATTTGTTTCCCTTTGATTTCACAAAATGCTAATGATGGTGGTAATAGTTAATGCTTTTTCTATTTGTTTGTTTTTGCCAAGCCCTGGCCAAGGTACTTTTCTTAGATTGCTGCATTTAGTGGGCGCAACTGTAAGAGGCAAGAAATACATCTACAACTTAGGTTGAGGAAGTGGAGGCTTAGGCAGTGGTAAATAACTCTCTCAGAGCTATGCAGTTGGTCAGGAGTGAAGACCATTTTTAGCCCAGTCTAGATCATCCATGCCATCAAGAGGAGGATGTGAGTGATTCATAGCTTGTTACGTGCACTATTTAAGTTCATTTCAGAGTTTAACATGTTTACCAAAACTTTGGTGAACTTTTAATTCTGTAAAAATACTTGTTTGCATTTTTGTGTTCAATCAGACATAGTAAGTTAAAAGACTCATTTTTCTGTGTGTGTACGTGTGTACGAGCCATTCTGCTTCATTTGAACCTCAGGAGTTAATGGGCTAAATTATGCTGGCCTACTGTAAATAAGATAGAAACTCAGCTTGATTAAAATAGACAAGACTGAAAAGGCAGGTAGCAGGAGGATCAGAACTTGCTCAAGTCTTGGTCCCAAGCCTTACTTAAGTTTGTAGTTGGTGAAGAGAAGGCAGTTTGAGGTGTCAGAACTGCAGCATCCCAGCTGTGGGGACGTCTCTAGAAGTGAGATATACTGACTACTTTTGTACGCAGAACAGAAAGATTTGTCATAAAACTCAAGGTTTGTATTCACTTCATTGATGTGTGGATGGATATTTTGATATTGTCTCTGTGTCTGAAATATTACATAGTAAATGTTACTTTTGAGTGAAAAAACATCTAAAGACTTGGTTAGAAAACAGTGATTATTAGTAATGCAAACATTCTTGTTTATCTAACGTTTTCAAATTATTTTCTAATTTAAGAATAGAAGGTTGAGAATAAATGCTTAAAATAATTTGTCATTTCTTATATTTCTACATTAAAGTCACTTTTCAGTGCAATAATTTTGTTAGGCAGCTAATTAGACATGTAATTATATAGAGAGACATGTCTCTTAATGTGAGATTTTTTTTTGTCCTTTATCTACAAAAAGCATGTTTAAAAATTTTCTTACTCCTATTTCTCTTCTCCTCTAAAGGCGATCTCTGATATTAACCGATTGTATATTTTTCTTGTATCCTCTTCCTAAATAATGTGGATATTTGTGTCAAGCTAATGGCCATATCTGGGAAGAGTGATTTCTAAATTGTAAATATTATTTCTGAAAATATGAACCTAATTTAATTCTGTAGAGGAGATGCTCCATTTGGTAAGTTCGATCTGTTGAGGAGATCATACAAAAAGCAATTGAGTTTTTTAAATGGTTTTGGCTCTGATTGGTGATTTTAGTGGGTCACTGTATATGTAACGGTTTTATTCCTACTTTTCACATAGCATTGAAACTTCCTTTCGGCAAAACGACAGTGATGCATCTGGTGGCCAGGGAGACGCTGCCAGAGCCAAACTCCCAAGGTAAGCTGCGTGCCAAGGTGGCTCACTTGAGTCACAGAGACAGACGTCACGCTCAGCGGTGGCCGGGTTTTCCTTGGAAATTCTGAGTAAGGAGGTCTTCACAGTTCATGAATAGAGCTTGTCAAGCCAATAACCACTTTGGAAACATGCTAAAATAAAAAAGCATGTATTGGCCTTTTAATTTAAAAAATGCAAACGTAAAAAGAAAGTGAAACAAGACAGTTCTTGTTGTGCGTGGCTGCCTTGCTGCCACCGCCTCTGGTTCCGGCACTTCTGTGAGCTCAGCTTTCCTTCCGTTCCTAGGTCAGAGGAACCGTGAGAAGACGGGCGAGAGCAACTGCTGTGTGATCCTGTAGCCATGGGGCCAGAGACCTGGCGGCGCAGCCTGCCTGTGCATCCCAGAGCTGAACTACTCACGGACTGTCGTCTTTGCTCAAGGAGCTAAAGAGAACCAGGAACATTCTTCACTATCATTTCTTATTTCTTGTATTATTGTGTTGAGCAGTTTTAAAATATATTGGTTTTTGAAAGTAGTCAATCTCCAGGAAAAAAGTTAACAAGTTCCCTCTCGTAGCAGAAACCACTTTGCTGCCACGAAGGTTTTCATCACCAGAACTAACAAATCAGGTGTTCCAAATACAGTTTGCACTAAAAAAGATTGACACTATTTTCCTCACCAGGAGAACTGATAACAGTCTGTGGTACCTAGAAATACTCATACGTACAGTTCCCCACGGGAAGACACCCAGCAGTTACTGAAGTTAATTAATGACTGGGCCAACTGGAGAGGGAAAAATATGGGAGAGGGAGTCAAATGCTGGGTGGATCCAGCGTGCAGACACAGGATGCTGCCCTGAGTGTGACTTCTCCCTGCAACTAATGGAAACACAGAAACAAAACGTGCCTGTTGCTAAAGCGCTCGGGAGAGGGCTGACCAAACCAAGCTTTTCCTCAGCACGAGCACTGAGTCCTGCGCTAGCGGAGTGCCTGCTGAGACAGCACAGGAAGGGGGCCTGCACCTCCGAGCCTTAATGTGGGAGCGGGCTCCAGTCGCCCGGAGGCTTTCGTTCTGTGCGGAAACAGAAAACCTCGTTGACTGATCAGTTTTGTGTATTTGAATATCAGCAAATTGAAATTTTCCTTAATACTTGCTCATCTGTAACAGTGTCCCTGTGTCAGGCATACTCAGTAGAGAGTTCAGGTGAATTCTTACCATTCAAAGATGCATCTCCATGATAACTAGTTCTGTTTCTTTATGTAGTTGCATTGGGTATCAGTGCTTGCAGTTGTATTAAAATCAAAAACTGATTTTTTAAAGGCATACATGATTAAGAATGCCCTTTTATTTTATACCAATAATTTAAAGATTGATATGCTAAAAACAATTTGCACAGCACTAAAGCATGAGCTAGTTTCATCCAAACCTGTAAAAATATGAAAGATTTTATATTTTTTCACTGGGAAGAAATTCTTCCTGGATGAAATTACAAATAATATGTAGAATATATTTAATAAAAGACTTATAAAATACCTAACTATAGAACCTAAATATAGATTGGCGTGTAGAATATAGAACAATAATCCGTATAAATAACTTTAGCCTTTTTAAAAATGAAGTTGCAGGCTGACATTATGTTCTGTCCTTCTAAGGAGTGTCCATGACCCTTGCAAACATTAAGTGTAAGTGGTTTCAGATGGTCAGCTTTGTCTAAATGTAATCAGGTTATTTTATTCATTGTTAATGCTTTGATGCGAGGCTTTATATGCAGTAGATCTACGAAGATACTGTTCCTACTGATCAGAATTAAATTTGTATAGAGCAGAGTTTTAAAACGAATGTAAATAGCACTAAACATTTTCTTTCTGCAACCTGTACTTATAGATTCTTTATGTAAACTAAATAAAAAATATTGTAGTGCATTTTGGTGGTAATTTTAAAGGTTTTGATTAGGTTAATTGTTTAATGCAGCGTCTCATCCATGTTTTCTAGTTTTATTTCTGAGTCTTTAAAAATTCATTAAATTAATATTCTATTCTTGGTTTTGGGAGTATTCCCAGTGTGTCTTTGATATTTAATCTAGTTAATTTGTGTGCAGTCACACAATGGATAGAATTATGTAGCCTCTGTTTTCACTAAAGTGTTATAGTCGGGAGATGTTAAATATTTATATGCCTTGTTAACCAGCTCAAATGTGAATTCTGTTGGTGTTGAAAGAAGAAGAATCTGGTAGTTACTTAATTGGGCAGTGAAGCCATTTATGGCTCTGTTCTTTTGTAAGACAAACTACTGGTAATTATTTTAATACCTATTTTAATTCTAATTACTCTTCTGTTTTTCCATAAAGATTGTCAGTTAATTATGATTTTTTAATGATGGTTAAATATTCTCTCTTGGTTTTCAATATATTTTTCTGTATGTTCCCACATTATATATTTCCCTTTAATAAGACCTCGATTTAGAATTTGCCAAGTGAGATAAACTGGTTCATTCATAGAGAAAGAATTATGTCACTTAATATCATATTGTACAAAATGGAAAAAATAAAAAGTATCAGTAAAATTATATACTGAGAACACCAAAAATTTAAATGCCTTAATAGTGTATATGTGAAAAAAAACTCAGCTGTCCCGTTGAAAATAACTCCTTGGACCGCCTGATGGATGAAATATGATTGATCTTTTCCAAGGCTACTATTGAAAATCCTTCTGCCAAAAACAGCAGCTTTGTTCCCTGAAGGCGAGGGCCACAGAGACCCCGCTGGGGACGGAAGCCTGCGTCACGGCTGCGCTAGTGCCCCTCCCCTCGCGCTGCCCTCTCCGCTCCTCCCCACAGGGCTCCTGGGCAGGGAGAGCAGCTTTCCGTCACTCAGACCCCAGCCTGGCTCCTGGTCTGAACTCTGCTTTCTCTCTAAATAAGTTGTATCTTACTAAATGAACCTAACATCACCATTCACATTAAAGGAGGTTTTTTTCCATAACAAAGCTTTTATCCTTAGTTTTATGACGTCATCGTGACCAATGTTAAAGTAATTTCTGTTAGCTGATTGTGATAATGTTTAATGTGAAAAGAAATTAAAACTTTCTTCATCTATTGTAGAATCTCTCTCTTCTTTTCAGTGACTTCCATTCATAATGTTGGTATATTTTCCTGTCCTTTACCTCTCTGCTATCTTTCTCCTCTTTTTTTTTTCCAATATATTTTATTATCCTGTTGAGTAAAATTCAGGTTTTACTGTGGCTTTATTTTACCTAAATGGAAGAGAAGTGATCAACCAGCATGGGACGTGCCTTCCTCCCATCCCAGTCAATAGTACCCCATCTTAGAGGCACTCTACTTTCTCCCATTATCGTCTTCTACTAGAGTCACTTACTAGCAGAGTGATAGAGGCGGGAGGGAGCGTTAAAGAGGTGTAGTACATAGTACATAGCCTGTCACCAGGGCAGAAACAAACCGCAGACTCCTGGCGGTTTCCTAGGCACAGGGTCTGTGCCCCAAGTGAGGCAGGTGACTCTGGGACTGCTAGCTTACCCGGCCACCCACCCCCCAGAAGTCTGCAACGGGTTACAGCTCTTGTCCGCACAGGGTGGGGGCATGGTTGACTTCGGGAACAGTTGATGGCCGAGATGAAGTGAGAAACATCCAGCCCTTAGATTTCCAGCTGTAAGCCAATACTGCAGTGTGAAAAATAGTTTCATCTGTGGTCCTTGACCATGGGGACAAATGTTTATATTTCTGCCTCTTTTTCAAAATGACAGCTTTTAAGAAATACAGAGTAGACATTGTAAATCAACATTCGGGAGAAGGCGTGTCACTCTCGTCCAGTGTTTGGCCAGTGAGGGAGGGGCTGGGTAAGCTTCCTAAAGGGGCAGAGCGCATGACTGGTTTGAGAAGGTAGCTGCTGCATATCCCGACATTCAGTATGTGAAGCATTCCTTGAAGCTTACTGGGTGGAAGAGAAGTCTGCGACGTGGCGGGAGAAGCTTACAGTCATCCAGTAGCACCTGAGATTTCAAATCAGAAACCCCACAAAAATAGCTGGAGTTGGGAGTCAGGCCTGGGTTTGAGCTGGGTGACTGAGCCAGCTACTAAGGCAGCCTCAGATTTTCCTACGTAAAATCATCCTATTCGGTAGGGTTGTTACGAGGGTTACTTTACAGTGGATATTTAAAGCACGACTTTGCCTAAGAACCAGTGCCCGGCAAACCTGCCTAGGGCTGGATGTGGGAAATACACAGTGCGTGCTGGGCACCAATGTGGACTAGAAAAGTAGTTCACAGAAGGGCCATGGAAAATACGTGGATGGTTCTATGTCCAAAGACATGTATTTGAGTAGAGGATGCAGGAATTCAGCAGTGAGACGTGGCCTCAGCTGCACCCTGTTAAGAGCTTGGACAGGACGCAGAACTGGTCATGCTGACCCTAAGGATGGAAGCTGGCTGGGAATCTGAGGTGGGGTTTGTTAGTTACTAAGGTAGAAAAACACGCACACAGGCTGTTCAACAGAAAGAAGTCTTAGGGAACGTTGGGACCAGCTCTGGGGTGAAGTAAGGACTGTCCCTGCGCCACAACGCCGGCCCCGGGGCTTGGGGAGTTCTGTTCTGAGCCTGCTCAGACGAACACTGAGGCGAGACCCTGTGGTGACACAGTGGCTTAATGAGCAGAACCCACCTGTGCCTTACTTGCTCAGAGTCTGTAGCTCTTCGACCTGCTGAGAATGCCACCCAACGGGGCTAGCAGAGCTAAGGGCAGCAAGGAGCTCTTCCTGGGTTCATTCGGGCCCGGAGGGAGAGGAGGAGGCAGCGGGAGTTGGGAGCCCGCCGAGGAGGGGGGTGGGTGTGCCCTCGTGGGCTCGCGTGGATAACACTAGCACACTCTGGCGGCTGCCAAGCTGGACGGGCCCTGGCTTTTCTTTTCCCGTGACTCCAGGAAGCCTGGCCCTTACCCCAGCTCTGATGTGGCTGGTTGGCGGTGGGAGAGCGAGGTTGTGTTTACTGCTGGGTGGGCCTTGCTCTGTGAAGATGCCACGAGTTTCACCGAGTGGGAGCCACAGCAGGAGAAGCCACGGGCCCTGGAGCGCCCAGGCCGCCTGCTGGGTAACCTGATGTACTTGCTAGGGCAAGTCCAAAGCGTCTCTAGTGATACAACGCCAACATGTACTCCAAGCTTTCTGAAATGAGCTCGCGAAAAGGTCAGAAAATACAAAGATGAGTTTGTGTTCACTTTGCTAAGAGAAAAAAAAAAAATCTCTTGGAAGTGGGTGTTTGGCGAAGCCCTTAAGTCGCTGCCTGGCGTGGCTACACCTCCCATCCAAGTGCCTGGTTCCAGTCCCAGCCCCTCCACTGGGATCCTGCTTCCCGCCAATGTGCACCCTGGGAGGTAGCAGGTGATGGCTGGACTAGTTAGGTCCCTGCCACCCACGTGGGAGACCTAGGTTGAGTTCTGGCCCAGCGCCAGTTGATAACAGCATTTGGGCAGTGAACTGGGCAAGTATGCCTTAGTATATATGCCTGATTGTTTTTTTCTGCTTATAAGATTGATGTCTGGGGTTGATGTATCCTGGTGGGTTAGGCCGCCTCCTGAGACGTCAGCACTCCATATGGGCACCAATTCAAGTCCCGGCTGCTCCACTTCCTGCTAACGTGCCTGGGAAAGCAGCAGAAGATGGCCCAAGTACTTGGGCCCCTGCCACCCACATGGGAAACCCAGATGGAGCTCCCGGCTCCTGGTTTCGGCCTGGCCCAGCTCTGGTGGCTGCAGCCATTCAGGTAGTGAACCAGTGAATGGGCGACCTCTGTTTCTCTGTCAACCTACCTTTGAAATAAATAAAAGGTTTTTTTAATTGATTTTTATTCATTGTAGAACATTTCATGATTATAGAAAAGTCTGAAGGAAGAAAAGTAATGTCATCACCCAGAATCAACTGTTTCTGAAAATAGAATTGCTTTCATGACCCTCTTTTTTTAGAGTGCTAGGTACTCTGCTCGGCTTGTAATTTGGTATTTGAGGAATTGCTGGGTCCATTGGTGCTTACAGTTGCTCCGGGGTTGGTTTAAGGCTGGCCTAGAACAGAGCAGGCAAATCTAGGTGGCACTCTTTGGGTGTAGGCTGCTCGGCAGAGGGCTCCCGGGGATCGTCCTAAGCCGTTAGCGCAGTTTGTTTAGGAAACTCGTGTTCCAGCTCCGAGGCCCCAGGCATTCCCAGTGTGCTCTCCTCCTAGGCTCTTCCTTTGCAGCCTGGGTGGCATCTCCTGGCTTCAAAAGTCCATTTTGACAACATGAATTAAAAGGAGGGATGCCTTTCACGCTGCTCTTGGTTTTGTTCGCTGGCTTGCTGGTGGGGGTTTGGGCCTGCCGACCCTGCCCACTGGGAGATGCTGCCTCCCGCTTTAACATGGCCCTCTTTTTAAAGTTTTTTAATTGTTTTCATTTTTATTTGAAAAGCAGAGAGACAGAGAAAGAGAGAGGGCAGAGACAGATCTTCCATCTGCTGGCTCACTCCCTAAATGGCTGTATCAGCTAGGACGAGATCAGGCCAAAGCCAGGAGCTCCGTCCCTGTCTCCTACATGGAGGGCAGGGGCTCAAGCGTTTGGGCCATCAGTCCCTGCCTTCCCAGGAAAGCTGGAATTAGGAACCAGAGCTGGAACTGGAACCTAGACCCTCTGTTATGGGAGCAGGCGTTCCAAGAGCACCTCAACTGATGCTCCATACGCCCACCTTCAAATCAGCTCTTGGCGTCTGGAGGAATTACTCCCATGCCTACATTAAAATTTTAGGGGCCTGTGTTAGGGTGTAGCAGGGAAAGCCGCCGCCTGCAGTGCTGGCGTCCCATATGGGCTCTGGTTCGAGTCCTGGCTGCTCCACTTCCAAACCAGCTCTGTGCTTATGGCCTGGGGAAGCAGTGGAAGCAGTGGGAGATGGCCCCTGCACTCAGAAGAAGCTCCTGGCCTCAACCTGGCCCAGACCTGGCCGTTGTGGCCACTTGGGGAGTGAACCAGCAGATGGAAGGTTATCTGTGTGTGTGTGTGTGTGTGTCTTCCTCTCTTTCTTTCAAAGAAATAAATTATTTCAAATAAATAAATCTTAAAAATTTAAATACACTACATACAGAGTTTATATTTTTCATCTTTGCATATCCCCAGCATAGAATGTTCTCTTAAAGCATACCTTGTGGCTGTGTGATACTCCATTTTGTTGGCATGCCATTTTCATTTATTTGTTTAATGTCCAGTGTGAAAACCACATGGAATAGCATTACATTCTACCAGAATGGCCAGAATGAAAAGACCCGACAATACTAAGTGTTAGCAAGCATGTGGGTGCAAACGAAGTGCTCATATATTCCTAGACGGGTGGACACTCGAACCATGTCACTGAGGGCTTGTATACAGTGTATGCCAAAGCTAAACATTTTGTACACCCTCTGCTCCAGCAATTTTACTTCTGGATAAGTAGCCAACAGAAAACTGTGCTTGTTCATAAGAAGCAAGATACTCTTAGTTATTGTCTTCACAAACCAGAAACAACGCAGATACCCATCAGCAACAGAATGGATTCTGAAATAGCAGGATATTCTCAGTGAGCCGCACCAAAGCAACAGAAGCAAAGAGCCCACTCCTGCAGCATGCAACATCCAGGAAAGAAGCCAGGCATTAAGAAATACACACTGGGCCGGCGCCGCGGCTCACTAGGCTAATCCTCCGCCTAGCGGCGCCGGCACACCGGGTTCTAGTCCCGGTCGGGGCGCCGGATTCTGTCCCGGTTGCCCCTCTTCCAGGCCAGCCCTCTGCTGTGGCCAGGGAGTGCAGTGGAGGATGGCCCAGGTGCTTGGGCCCTGCACCCCATGGGAGACCAGGAAAAGCACCTGGCTCCTGGCTCCTGCCATCGGATCAGCGCGGTGCGCCGGCCGCAGCGCGCCGGCCGCGGCGGCCATTGGAGGGTGAACCAACGGCAAAAGGAAGACCTTTCTCTCTGTCTCTCTCTCTCACTGTCCACTCTGCCTGTCAAAAAATAAAAAAAAAAATAAAAAAAATTAAAAAAAAAAAAAAAAGAAATACACACTGGATGTGCTCATTTAAATAAAATGCAAAAACGTGCAAAA